AGATAAGGCCTGCTTCAACATTGCCTCATGAAGGAAATACTGACTCTTTGAAGTCGAGTAACTGGTATAACTAACTCGTCCTTAAACTTGTGTTATACTCACAAGTAATAAAATATAATTCCAACCCTTATTCTCATTGAAGCATTTTCGAAATATCTTATATCTGAAAGTTTAATAAGAAGGTAACAATAAAGACATTGGAAAACAAGATGAGATTTGTTTTAAGGAAAAACTAATATGGATGTTTGTCCTTGTGAAAAAGTTTGTAAACTGCGCCTACGTCACATGAAAAAATCCTAGTGTAGAATCTTATACAGAGGCTTTGGTTTTTTATAATACCACTAGATTTCGGTGTACATTTAAGCAAATATAAAAAGTAAATACGACATATTACAGAATGTACAACCAATTTTTTTTAAATAATACCTACGAGTTTGTCACAGTTACTATAATACACAAATAATGGAAAGTATTGTAAGAGGCGACCGAAGGAAACTAAAACCGGAGATAGATGGCAGCATATTTCTGTTAAAAACTCAAATTAATACTCAAATTAATGAAAAACTGTGATTGCCTACCCGCGTGCCAAGCGTGGCCACTATGCCAAATATCCATCAAAGAGATAATCTCTGGGGTGAGGTTATAATCAGCAGTGGACTTTGATAGAATTTTATGATGACTGTGTTGTCCTAATTACGTTTACTGTATTACTGTATTACTGTATTATATTTAGAAATTACTATGATTGTAGGTGACCTCAACGCAAAGGTCGGTGTCACATTAGATGATAACCATTTAAGACGGCACGTTGGTCTATTTGGAATAGGAGAACGTAACGAAAGAGGGGATAGATTGTTACAGTTCTGTAGCGAAGAAAACCTCACTCTGATGAACACCTGCTTTCGCCAGCATATTAGACGACTATACACCTGGATATCTCCCGGCGATCGTTTTCGAAACCAGATAGACTACATTATGATTCAGTCACGATGGAGATCCTCTATACTTAACTCCAAGACCTACCCAGGAGCAGACTGCGGAAGCGACCACCAGCTTCTCATGTGTACATTTAAACGAAAAAAAGAAACTTAACAAACAGAAGTCTATGCAGAATTTTAAAACGGTTCACATTAGCAACTTTAGATCTGGGTTGGAGAACTCACTTACGGCGATGACAGCACAGAGTACCAACAAAGACGACTGCAAAGTATCGTGGGAAGAGTTAAGAGATGCAATTATAGAGCAAGCGAATAAAAATAAAATTCACGCAGCAGCAACCATGAAAGGTCATTTTAGGATGGAGACATCTAAAATAATATTGGAAGGGCGCATGCTTAAGGAAAAGGGTCTCGTTTCAGAAGAAGATCATAAACGCTACGCAGAATTGAGTCAGGAGATACAGAGGCGGTGCCGAAAAGACACTAATGATTACATCAACAATATCTGCTGCGAACTCGAACGGCACGCCGAAAAGAGGGAAACCCACGAACTTTTTAAAAGGGTGCGCGAACTAAGCAAGAGCAAGATCGTTCAAACATGGGCCATAGAAGACAAAAACGGAAACCTACTTAGCGACTTAGATACAGTGTTGGAACGCTGGAGACAATACTGTGCCGAACTTTACTGTACACAGGACACACCTGCTCGTGTTAACAATAATTGGAATACTATGAATGACCCAGAACCTAGTATTTTAGACGCCGAAGTAGAACAAGCAATAAAGGCATTAAAAACGAACAAATCACCTGGTAAAGATAGCATTCCAGCAGAACTTTTAAAAGCCATGGGTCCAATAGGCCGGAAAATTATAGTAAACATCTGCAACTCGATTTGGAATACAGGCGTATGGCCTAGAGAATGGACTGAATCTGTTTTTGTGCCCTTGCATAAGAAAGGTTCCAAAAGTAATTGCACAAACTACAGGACAATCTCCTTAATTTCGCACGCCAGCAAAGTCATGCTGTATATAATAAATCAACGTCTTAAGAATTTCCTAAACAGGCAGATTCCCAACGAGCAAGCTGGCTTCGTAAAGGGCAAGGGCACAAGAGAACAAATTTTAAATATCAGGCAGATTATTGAAAAGAGTCGCGAGTTTGCCAATCCAGTGTTACTGTGCTTCATCGATTACAGTAAGGCATTTGACTGCGTCCGTTGGGATAAACTATGGTCAATATTGGTCGAAATGGGAGTACCAACACACCTAGTCAGCCTAATTGCCAACCTGTATGATAACAACCGATCTTATGTGAGACTCGATGGCAGTCTTTCCAAAGAGTTTATGACTACGAAAGGCGTGAGACAAGGTTGTATACTGTCTCCGTTGCTCTTTAATATATATGGGGAGTACATCATGCGGAAAACCATGGAAGGATGGGATAAAGGGTTTCATATTGGGGGTAAAAAGGGTGGCTAACTTGCGATATGCGGACGACACTGTGCTTTTTGCAACATCTTATGAGAACATGGAGGAGCTGCTGCATAAGCTATAATTAGAAAGCGAAGAGCTAGGTCTGTCAATCAACAGGAATAAAACGAAACTCATGGTTATAGACCGGGCTAGCAAACTTTCCAACACTTGCAGCATTCAAGGGATCGACGTTGTGGAGAGTTATATATACCTGGGATCTCTGATCTCAAATGAGGGTACTTGCGTTCCCGAAATTAAGCGTAGAATAGCAATAGCTAAGGATGCGATGACCAGGCTGACAAACATCTGGAGAAACAGAAGCATAACAAATAATACTAAATTACGCCTAGTATATACTCTTATATTCCCAATTTTTCTCTATGGAGTGGAAACAAGGACTATACGCGTCAGAGAAAGGGAGAGAATTGATGCGTTCGAAATGTGGTGCTGGCGGCGAATGCTGCGAATACCGTGGACTGCGAAGCGCACAAACGTGTCAATCCTATCGCAACTCAAGATCAAGACGCGTCTTTCCACCACATGTCTTCAGCGCATCCTCAGCTATTTTGGTCATATCTCCCGCCGCGGGGACGAAAGTATCGAAAAATTGATAGTTGTTGGAAACGTAGAGGGAAGAAGGCCCAGAGGTAGATTTCCAACCCGGTGGTCCGACCAAGTCAAAGAAGTCGGTGCGCGAAATTTCTACGACGCTCTCCGTATGGCCAGCGATAGGACCCGGTGGAGAGAGATTATAAACAATAAATTTACTCTCCGTGATGGTGATCACGATCCTCAGTCATGAGGGACTGACTAGAGAGAGAGTATTATATTATTAGACAAAAAGCTATATAGCTATATAATATATGCTTAATCCAATCTTCTCCTTCGAATGAAATATTTGATCTTTTATTTACAAGAGGTAAACTAATGGATCAATTAAAAGAGCCAGAACAAAAGGATAAAAAGCTGTCAGTAAACATCGACGCTCCGGGAATTCTGCATTTCTGAACATGTTCCGGAAGTTAGATTTCATAAAATAGACTGTTTTATTTCATTTTAAAAATTAAAGCTTTGTATAAAGTCCTTGTATATTTCCTGAAAGCGTACTTTGTTGTAAATTACAATGACATTGAATCACTGTCTGCTCGTTTCTCACTCTTTTTCTTTAAAATAATAGTGTGATATTACAAGGTATAAAGTACACACATTTATGAAGTAAATATGTTTTCTCACTCGCCCCACCCTTGTGATAACAACACTTATCATTTTTTTCTTTAATATGGCATTTGGACACTGATCTTGTCACTGTCGTGTTTTTTTTAAGGATAAAACTCTCTTCAACTTAATCTGAATTGACGCGAATTCAAGTTAGTAGAGGATCCGAAGTAAGGTCGACCTTCACCCATCTGTTAACCAGATGAAAATATTTTTTTATCAAATTAAATATATTTCTAACTATATGTCAATAGGTTTTCCTAAAAACATATATTCATGGCTATATTTAATTTTAAGTTTTATTAATTATTTTTTCAAAATTTTACCGACTTGCTTGACAAATGAACTAAATTCCAATGGAAAGCATACAGCACACACAATATGCAATAGTTGAGTTACCTTTTTCTGGTACCTCTATGCCTGGTCATCGTTATAAACAGGTAATTTGCTGTTTTTTTTTAAACAAATTTCGAGAAAAAATTCCACGACTAACGATAGGCAAATAAATAACTTCTTTGTTGGCAATTTGTAGGTGGTTGTTACTTTTTGTAAATGTTATAATTATTGGGAGCAAAATGGTGACTGGTACGAGGTAAAAAACTTATTAAAATTACAAAGCACTCATTACGTCGGAATTTAAAATTCAATTAAGTGTGATAAGAAACGTCACATTAGTTTTTTTTTCAGACGTTAAATAGTAAAATTCGCTTTGAAAGTAGTGCTTATGTATGTTACCTTGCCGAAAGTATAAAGAATATATATGTATATGTACCAAACTCAGCATCTGGATGTTAGGCGGTCCATAGCTGTGCATTTTACTGGAAGTTTTCTTCCTCGTACGACTTCTCTGTGGAATTGTTTACCACCTGTGGTTTTTCCGGACCGATACGACATAAGGCCCTTCAATAAAAGAGCTTATTCCTTTCTAAAAGGCCAGCAACGTACCTGCAATTCCACTGGTATTGCAGTTGTTCATGGGTGGAGGTAGTTTCTTATCATTATGTGAGCCGCGTGCTCGTTTGTCACCTCTTCTATAAAAATAATATTGAACTTAAAACTAGCCGGCTGAACTTATTTTTAGTTTTAAGTGTAGGATAATATTATGCCATATCAGTTAAACTTCGGTTTAATTGCAACCTAATGAAAAATAATACAAGTTACATGATTTGAGTAGTACCCAAATTATTCGTTGTTCAAACTAGGAATAGCCGATTGCCAGTAGATTCTGTATCGGTAGGGATTGAACCTAGGTTGCTTCGCGTCCTGTCTAGTTTACAGCATGGGCATCCTTAATCAAAGAGTAAATATTGAACACCATACGTTGCGACTCGCTAGCTTTAGCAAAACGTGATCACAATATGACAAGGAGACTTACCTGCAGCGTATCTATGCTATCACCCACATGATACTCGTAGTACCTGAATCCCGTTGCATTGATAATCTTATAAGCATATAAAATGTTATCTCATACGGATCAAGGAACTCTACAGCTTATATACGTCCTAATGCTGGGCACAAGCCTCCTCTCACTTCTGAGATGGTTTTAGGACAAGGAGGTGTCCGCCGCGCTGCCCCAAAGCATCATTGCGGACTTCATATGTCTTCGAAATATATATTTTTTATTTGACAGGCATGCAGGTTTCCTCATGTTGTTTTACTTCGCCGCCGATCACGTGGTAATTCATCTCCTCCTCATCTTTTGCTGCATTATAACAAAGGGGTAGACTAGATATTAAGAACATCGCCAGCATTATCACATCATTTTAAAATCAAATCAATTCAAATAATTTATTTGTAAAACATCGGTAAAAAGTTACAAAATTGGTGGAAAAGGTTTGATAAGTAACATTGTTTCGCCTTAAAAGTAATACAACAAGCGAGCACACAGTCCACCTGACGGTAAGTGGTTGGTGTGACCCATAGACATCTACATCTATCCTCGTTTGCGAATTAAAATGAAGATGCGTCGTCAGCCTTTAGGACTAAGATGGAATGCCTCTTTTCCAGTAAATAGAGTCTCCGGTTATCTACACTCACCATACGAAACACAGCAGCATTAAGCTGCTATTTGACGCTGGTGTTCTGCGAGAGCGTGGTCCTTCTCCGGTCGAACCGACCCATTCGTGCTACAACTATACAATTAATATAGCTGCTGCGTGGCTCTACCACGTAAAAATTAAATTCATATTGATATATCCGGTATTGCGTAATTAATGAGATGAATATAATAAATAGTAGAAGACGTAGTTGCGTTTCAGAAAAATATGTTTTATGTTTAGTAAAATTTTCTCCGAAAATTTCGAAATTTACATCCTTTGCCACTCTTTTTGGTGGCAAGACACCAAATGAAAGAATTTTTTTAATTTGATATTTGGATAGTAATCCTGGATGGAAGCGCTATTGAATGTAAACTATGGTTTTTGGAGCGTATGCATAGTTTTTATTTAAACAAATATCTAACTCAAATTCCATGTTTTGCTTATTTTTTTAGTTTAACCTAACGTTGTGTAAAAAATATGGTCACCTGAATGCCAAATTAAGAAAAAACATACCTGTTTCATTAAGATTCTGAAATTTAACTCACTATATTTCCAGTATTTAATACAAAATAAATTCCTATTACAATCGTGCTAAAATTTACTTCATTACTTGAAATTAACTTAAAAGGATTGATTTCGTAACTGTGGGATTTAATAATGAAAGAAAACGAGAGAAAATAACAATTTTAAAATATTGTTTTATCAAATTAAATATTTGATCAAAGTGACCAACATGAGATCCAACACATGCTCCACACCTTCTAGTGAATGATCGCTTTATTCAGCTTGCATGTCTCACTTCAGTATTTGTTGTGCAGCCATTTGCACACGCTCCCGTAGCTGGTCCATTGAAGTAATGGGATCGTTGTAGACCTTCTTTTTGAGGATTCCCACTGAAAAAACGTAGCGTTCTGTTAGCGTAATGGGTGGGGCAACCATCGCGCTTATTTTTTTTTAAATTTCAATTATGTCGAAAACCGGAGGGATTTTTACTAAACATAAAACATATTTTTATGAAGCGGCACAACGTCTTCTACCCTCAGGTACCGTATTATCCATTCATTACGCTACATCCTTATGTGTTAATTGGTTAATAGATGAATGTAATTACTAATATCAACTTACCTGACACGGTAACCAGATATTAGTGACCAGAAAAAGGTAGGCAACCCAACTATTGCATATTGTGCATCCTGTATGTTTTTTATTGGAGCTTAGTTCATTTATCAAGCAAGTAGATTAAATTAAGAATGAATAATTAATAAAAATTAATTTTAGCCATGATATTTTTTTAGGCATAACTTCTAAACATTTACAATAGGGTTCTATTGATAAATTATTTTTAGAAGCATATTTTATTTGATAAAAAATAATTTTCATCTGGTCAACAGATGGGTGAAGGTCAACCTTACTTCGGATCCTCTACTAACTTCGATTAGCGTCAATTCAGATTAAGTTGTAGAGAGTTTTATCCTTAAAAAAACACGACAGTGACAAGATCAGTGTCCAAATGCTATATTAAAGAAAAAATTATAATTGTTGTCATCACAAGGGTGGGGCGAGTGAGAAAACATATTTACTTCATAAATGTGTGTACTTTATACTTTGTAATATCATAGATATTATATCATGTTTTTATTTAAGAAGAATAGTGACAAACGAGCAGACAGTAATTCAATCATGGGGCAATGTAATTTACAACAAAGTCTCAGGAAATATACAAGGACTTTACACAAAGCCTTAATTTTTCGTTAAACAAAGGCCGTTCAAAAGGGTTATTAAATTGAAAATAACCCCTGGGAATGAGGTGACAGTTTCAAGCTGTTCCTTAAATAAGGTTTGTAAGTAATTGCTTAATGAGATTTTTGTATCATATAATATATGATGTAATTTTTTTTCTCTTCAGGACAGGGATATTTTCGCAAACTAACTTTACAAGTATAAAAATGTCTTTCAATAACAATTATTTTTAAAATGAAATAAAACAGTCTATTTCATGAAATCTAATTTCCGGACCATGTTCAGAAATGCAGAATTCCCGGAGCGTCGATGTTTACTGAAAGCTTTTTATCCTTTTGTTCTGGATTTTTAATTGATCCTTTCGTTTACCTCTTGTAAATAAAAGATCAAATATTTCATTCGCGCGAGAAGATTGGATTAAGCATATATTATTTAGCTTTTTGGACAACACAGTCATCATAAAATTTTATTAAAGTTCACTGTTGAATATAACCTCACCCCAGAGATTTTAACTTTGATGGATATATGGCGAATAAATTACGTAATATTACGCCAATTTTAAAGTAAAGTAAAGTTACAGCTTTTAGACGTCCCACTGCCGGGCACAGGCCACTGCTCATGCCTCAAAGAGATAAAGGGCAATTAAGTGTACGCCACGCAGCACCCATGCGTATTGGTGGACTTGTCTTCAATATTTTTTACTTTCTCATATATGCAGATTTTGAGTGAAATTTATAGCAATAAGTTAGCCCCTAAGCTATCCCGGCTCGTTATGTACCAACAAAATTGTTGTATATCATGCAGAAACCGTAACCTGAACCAAGAGGAAGTGTATAGCGTGTGACTTTTTTATTCAAAAGGATATTTATTTTGTATTAATTTCAACTTACTTTCCTTTATTTGTGTACAATACACAATATACAATATTTGCATATTTACAATATGCAAAATTTGCATTCCATAATGTAGAAATTAATAATATTCAATTTTCACAATATGGACCCTGTCGGGTATAGCAAATTAGAACAGAGGAGGACGCAAAAATGTTTTATTATTCATTATAATCATTATATTATTCATTATATTTATATTATTCCTTATTATCATACTATCATTATTCGTGTTATTAATTCATTTATTTATAGTTTTTATTATTATTATTACATTTGTCATTCAGGTATTCATATAAAGTACAATAACATTTATTGATTAGAAACACTTTTAATTGTCTTATAAAAATATGATCATTTGTTTCGTTTTTTAATGAGTTTGGTAGTTTATTACAGACAGTTATTGAAATTAAGTAAGGGCCTGAGGAAAAGAGCTTAATTTTTCTAAAATGAAAATCTCTTTTCCTTTTCGTTGGTAGCAATAATCTATTTCCGTGTCTTAAACTATAAGCCGTATATTTAGTTTCTCTTTTTACATAGAATTTAGGGTATTTTCGCAAAAATTTGCATAATTCCAATTAAAGTAGCCGTGGCAAACTCGTAGGTATTATTTAAAAAACTAGGTCGTACATTCTGTAATATGTCATGTTTACATTTTATATTTACTATAATATAGAATATTATAGCGAAACCTATTCAACTTTATTTACTTCAGCTTTTACTTACTAAGTAACTTATTAGCTTAATTTGGTTTTCAGGTGACTATATTTTTTTACACCACATTAGGTTAAACTTAGGAAAAAAATAAGCACTATTTTTGCGTAGAACTAGGGTATTTCGCACAATCAATCCTAAAGTAGCCTGGCAAACTCTATAAAAAAATATACATTGTAATCATTTATTTATTTTACTATAAAGAACCATTACTTTATTTACTTAGTTTTACTTACTAAGTAACTTATTAGCTTAATTTGGTTTTCAGGTGTCCATATTTTTTTACACCACATTAGGTTAAACTTAGGAAAAAAATAAGCAAAACATGTAATTGGAGTTAGGTATTTGTTTAAATAAAAACTATACATGCGCCCCAAAAACCATAGTTTACATTCAATACCGCTTCCATCCAGGAATACTATCCAAATATCAAATTAAAAAAATTCTTTCATTTTGTGTCTTGCCACCAAAAAGAGTGGCAAAGGATGTAATTTTTTTTAATTTTCGAAAATGAATCTCAAAATCGGAGAAACTTTTACTAAACATAAAACATATTTTTCTGTAACGCAAATACGTCTTCTACTATTTATTATACATCCATTAATTACGCAATACCGGATATATCAATATGAATTTAATTTTTACGTGGTAGAGCCATGCTGCAGCTATATTAATTGTATAGTTGTAGCACGAATGGGTCGGCTCGACCGGGGAAGGACCACGCTCTCACAGAACACCAGCGTCAAATAGCAGCTTAATGCTGCTGTGTTTCGTATGGTGAGTGTAGATAACCGGAGACCCTTTTTACTGGAAAAGAGGCATTCCATCTTAGTCCTAAAGGCTGACTTCGCATCCTCATTTTAATTCGCAAAGGAGGATAGATGTAGATGTCTATGGGTCACACCATCCACTTACCATCAGGTGGACTGTGTGCTCGCTTGTTGTATGACTTTTAAGACGAAACAATGTTACTTATCAAACCTTTTCCACCAATTTTGTAACTTTTTACTTATGTTTTACAAATAAATTATTTGATTTGATTTGATTTTGAAATGATGTGATAATGTTGGCGATGTTCTTAATATCTAGTCTACCCCTTTCTTATAATGCAGCAAAAGATACAGCCTTAGGTGCTATGGCTGTGGGGAAAGGGGCCATCTTCGATCCAGCTGCCCTTAGCAAACTGTAGAAAGAGAATGTGGTCGATCTCGAGGGGGTAGTGTGGTTAATAGCACCGCTCAACAGCAGCAGGATCATCGTTCCCCTCACGTTAGGGAGGTTACAGCAGTAAACTTATGCCTAGGATGACTCATTTTGACTCTGCCGTTCACTTCTGTAACATAACTTTGCTTTGTCACTCTTTCCTCATTCATTATTTTTACATGACCAAACCACCAAAGCATTTCTTTCTTAATCCTGGTCACAACATCATCTTGCAAACCAAACTCTTTTCTTATCACAGAACTTAGGACTAAGATGGAATTTTTTTCCCTGTCATTGAGATTCAGTCCTAATATACTCTTTAACGACCGCATTTCTACTGCGTTTATTCTACTCTCGTGCTTCTTCTATCACACCCAACATTCACTACTATGCGTTATAGTAGTGACTAACACGGCATAGTGAATTGCGATACGTGCCTTTTTTGACACATTTGACTTTTCACAATAGAGTGCAGGGCCCCATTTACTCTATTTCTTGCGTTCACTCTTCGTTCTATATCCTTATCATATATCCCATCCAAGCTAAATACGCATTTCAAATAAACAAACTCATCTACTTGCTCGATCAAATCCCCTTCTATTCTTATTTCACACATCGTTCTAATTTCTTCTCTTTCAAAAACAATAACTATCGTCTTACTTGCGTTCACGTCATTATAAAAAAGGGGTATGAAATACCCCTTTCTTTTAATGATTTGTTTATTAATGTAATCATCGTTTGCAACTCGGCCGTTAACGACGCAAAAATAACTTGATCATCGGCTTATAAAAGGCATTTGACAATTAACTCACCCGTTCTTAATCCGCATTCTTTAACCTTCAAATTTTCGAAACAACTGTCCATAAATAGGTTGAACAGCCACGGGGAAGCCACACACACCTTTATGGATGCCAAACCAGTGCGAGTAGGCTACGTTGATCCCAACACAAGCACTAGAGTCCCTTTAAAGAGACATTAATGCCTGTATCAACGCGGCGCTTAAGAGCGCATATTCAAATATGTCCAAGTCAAAATCTACGCGATCGCTTTAGAACGGCGTAATATTGACGCACACTACAATGTTATCTCTGAGTGCGTGTCAGGGCGAGCGTGAGGCTATAATAGTTGCCTAACGACGACTACGAATCACTTTGATCTTTGATTATATATCTGTCTTTGATACTATTGGAACTAAAATAATAAAAAAATAATTTCCATATAATGGCTTATATAGTGTAGAGACATCGGAGGCTAATATGTGGAAATTGTTTTATTCTTTTAGTAAATTGAAGTCAGCTTTACATTTTCAATCTATTGAGTATATTATAATATGTATATGTTCTAATTGAAAAATATGTATTGTATAAAATATATATCATTTGATAAACTTTT